CAAGTTGTTTCTTTTTTGTTGATTGAGGCTTTTATTAGGGGTTACTTTTTATACAAATAAATATTACCTTATTATGTTTGCTAAATCCTGTTACCAATACGCGAAGCATAGATCAGACATACATTTGTGTCTGCTGTCTCGCGATCGGCCTTCTGACTACCACAACAACGGTTCTTGTGAGTTAATCTTAAAAGATAGACAAACGTTCAAACACGAATAATTGTTTCCACATTTACTACTTTTTCTTCGCCTGGTGTTACATAACTTCTTCGATAAATGGTCCAACCAACACAAAAAGAATTTATCAATTCAAACCAGTAATTGAGGTTAGCGCGCTCAAACAAAAAACAAACAAATCTTTATAATATTAGTATAGATATCTAAGAAACAAAGGCAAAAAATGCTACAGCGCAAACCAGCGTAAGATAAATAATGTTATTTTTCAAGTATGTGGACATATAAATGTATATATGTATGACAACCTGAACTTTAGTTCATAAATATGTTATTATTGTGTGTCTAATATCAAAGTGTGTCTCAACGACATTAAAAAGGATAATATTCATAGCTGGGCCACATCTGTTTAACAAACAAAAGCAAGTGGAGTCAATTTATCTCGCATCTCAAGTTGGAACGTATAGAGGTTGTTTATCGTCGCTATAAAGTCTTGTGTATTCTATTGTGTCCCCTACTATTTACCTTCTTGCTTACAGCTTATAACAAAGAAGAACACGACCAACAATACAAATGAAAAGCTTTAATAATAAATTTAAAATATTAAAGTTTTTTTGTATAACTGAAACGAGACGCGATTAAACTTCACGGTTTTTTATCTGTGGACGGTAAATACTGTCTACAGTTTACGCGAGTAATACACATTTAAATCTTCTTCTTCTCAGTCGTGCACTCAGCTTAGAGTGGTCGTGGTCTGTGATGATGATGTCGTAGTTCGTGGGGTGTCCTCGGTGTTCGAGCATGCTTTAAGGACTATCCTCCTCCATCTTTGACGGTCTTTTGCATCGCGGCTACACTGTTCAAGTGAAGATCCGGTGGTTGTGCTGATAAGATCGGCCCAGCGGGTAGGAGAACGACCACGTGAACGCTTTCCTTCAACTCTTCCTTGTATGACTAGTCTCTCCAGGGAATCCTCATTTCTAGAAATATGACCAAAGAACTTCAGAATGCGTGTCATTCCGATCGAAGACAGTCTTTGCTGTATCTGGAGTTCCCGGAGAATAGAGTTATTGGTTCGAAACGCAGTCCATGGTATTTTCAGAAGTTATTTTATTTATTTATTATTTATTCAAAATTTTTACATTTTATTTTTAACATAAGCGTCAACAAAAACTCATTCGAGTTTTTCCGTGACGCCCTCATCTCAGCACACATTACATTTATACATGTATATATAGTTATATTACAAACAATTTCACGCATAAGCAGTAAACAATCAAGTCGCAACATTAATTAGAAGATATTTGGAGGGAGTAGAATTTTTTAAATTTGGTTTTAAAATTTTTTGTGGTAAGTGACATTTTTAACCTATTTGGTAATAAATTAACTAATTTGGGTATGATATAGTCGAGTGTTCTTTTTCCATATAGGTTGTTGTAATATGGCACTTGCAAGTAGGTCATGTCCCTTTTTCTGGCCGAGTAATATTTTTGCTCTATTTTATTGAAATTGTTTGTGTAATAGTTTTCAGTTAGGATATTTAGTTCTACTTTTTCATGTATAGGTATTACTTTACAGAATGCGAATAACTGTCGATAATCTTGTGTAAATTTTGTTTTAATGTTTTTAGGAACAATTTTCTTTAAGATTCTAAGCTGAAGAGAATAAATACGATCAAGGTGAGATTTACTGGATCTCCCATAACTCGATAGACCGTATTGAATGATCGATTCGGCTAGCGCCCGGTACAGTAGTAAGCGAGTTGTGTATGGTATTTTGTACTTAATTATTGCAAACTTGGCCAATATTCCCCTAAGTTTGTCGCACACCGCATTTATGTGGTGTTTCCAGTTGAGGCGATTATCAATAATGAGGCCCAGGTAAGTATGTGTATCCACAATTTCTAGAGCTTCACAGATACAAGAGAAATCGTCGTATTCCCCTCTATGGAGGCAAGAATTTTCGTGCGCTATTATTTGAGGTAAGGTGTCGCTAGACGGACAATTACGACTGGATCGGATGTGCATTAATTTGGTTTTTTTAGTGTTGAGGACTAGTCCGAAATCATGTGACCATTTTAAAAGGACGTTAAATTCGTTTTGAAGTTTTTTCATGGCCTCTCCTATTGTTGAGCCGGCGCTGACAAGGCAGGTGTCATCTGCGAACTGAAATATTTCGCATTGATTAATTGCGTTCGGCAGACTGTTTACGTAAGAAAGATAGTGCAAAGATCCAGAAACTGAACCTTGGGCTGTTCCCTCAGTTACGCTTACTGGATCACTATCCGTGTTGCATACTCTAACCCTGTAAGTCCTGTCGTTCAGATAATTGCGGTACCATTCTAGAAGGTTCCCTCTGATTCCGCAGTCGTCCAAGCTTTGTATTATTTTATCATGTCTCAAAGTATCAAATGCCCTACAGTAGTCTACGAAGACTACTAAAACCTGTTTCTTGTTGTCCAAGTATTTGTATATACGGTCTGTAAAAGCTGATAACAGCTGTGTTGTATTTTTACGCGGTTGGAAACCATATTGATTTGTAGTAAGTATATTATTTTTTTCGTAAAAACTATGTATTTGGCCACATATGTATTTTTGGATTATTTTGTCAATAGTTGATAAGATAGTTATGGGTCTGTAATTATCGTAGTCTTTATGGCAACCTTTTTTGTATATTGGTCTAACGATACCTGTTTTTAGCAATGTAGGGTATTTTCCTGTTTTGATGCTAGCGTTAATAAGATTGGCCACAACATTTTTTAGTTTCTCGCATAATAGTTTAATGTCAATAGCCCGTATTTGGTCGTAGCCTGGTGCTTTGTTTGTGCTTATCGACTTAATAATTTTTTTTACAGAACTCGAATTCGCCGGCTTAAAGCGTATACTAATGTCGGCCACTCTCTGATATACCGATTTTTCCAATAAAGGATTGGAACAATTAGTTATTATTTTTTTCACACCCGCGTCGCAGGTACGCGCAAATTTGTTTGCAATGTCTTTGTGGTTCGTTTGTGAATGATTGCCTTCTCCAGCACCACATTTCTATAGCATCAACCTTACGACGATCCTTCGCTCTGAGCGACCATGTTTCCGCGCCATATAGGAAAATTGGGAAGACTAAGCTGCGCATTAGGCGAACCTTAGTCTTTTTCGTTATACGACTGTCTTTCCATACTTTGCCCAAGCGCTCAACTGCTGATCTAGTTATGGTGCATCGTCTCATAACTTCGTCTTCACATCCACCGACGTTCGAGATAGTAGATCCAAGGTATACGTAGCTTTGAACCACTTGACAGTTAGCGATGTTGTCAATTGCAGAGTATTGCCCTGCTCGGTCTACTATCATTATTTTTGTTTTGTCCCTATTAATAGTAAGTCCGAATTGTAGACTGATTTTCTCAAGACGAATCAACAGATGCTCTAGGTCTTCCTTTGTCTGCGCAAGAAGCGTAGTATCATCAGCATACCTTAAGTTATTTATCAGTCGACCCCCTATTGTGACTCCTTTCTTCCAATTCTCCAAGACGATACGCATGAGGTATTCTGTGTAGATGTTAAAGAGTAAGGGCGATAGTATGCAACCCTGGCGGACACCTGACTGGGTTTTAAACTCATCGGAGTGGAAGTTGTCCATACGCACCGTGGCTGTGCTGTCATCATATAAGGCTTTTATGAGAGATACTAGGTGTTTAGGTACTCCCATTTCTACCATGATTTCCCAAAGACGGTCCCAAATAACAGTGTCAAACGCCTTGCGGAAATCAACAAAGCATATGAAGACAGCGGTATTAAATTCTCTGGATTTTTCGATGACTTGGCGTATTATGAGAATTTGTTCTCTTGTGCCTTTTCCCTTCATAAATCCTGCTTGTTCTGGTGCAATTTGCGGATTGAGGTACGCCTGTAATCTAGTATTGAGTATATGTAGTAACACTTTACTGGCATGCGATATTAAGGAAATGAGTCTGTAGTTGTTGCATTTTCTCGTTGAGCCTTTTTTGTGCAGCGGTATGAAAATCGAGTGCCGCCAATCCTTTGGCCACATCCCTGTTTCCCATACCGAGCGACATATGACGTACAAAAGGTCCACACCAGTCTCTCCCATACTTTTAAATACCTCAATTGGGATTTCATCCACTCCAACAGACTTATTGTTTTTCAAGTGACGTATAGCCGCTCGTCGTACACATTTAAATAAAACACTTTAACGGTTTAAAACGCGATATATTAGTTAAACTTATTTGGAAATTATTTTTAACTTCGGTCCGACGTTGCCGACGCTACGAAACGTCGGGCCGACGTTAAAACTCATTTCCAAATAAGTTTAACTAATGTATCGCGTTTTAAACCGTTAAAGTGTTTTATTTAACTGTGGACGGTAGTTCGTGATCCAGATGGAATCTCGATATTCCTACCACCCATTTAATACAATTTCCAGATGAATAATAATTACTCATTAATGTATATTGTTACCATAAACCAAAAAGCCCGCCTAAGCATTATATTTATTTGCAACGTCGTGCTATAAAATCATCTGTACTTAAGTTCAGCTAATACATATCGTTTAAAGCTTCAGTAATTTATTTAAATATATTTATTTTTGTACACAAAACCAGGAGTATCTCTAGTGTAAAATGTCACTCGAAAAATGATCCCAGTTCAACAACATTCTTGTTATGGATCTAATACTGGTTGAAACTCTAATTGTCTTTCCAATCTCACGTTCGTATCGGACCAATGAAACCGGCACATTTATCTACGGTAGGTACACACAAGGGTTGTTTATTGTAGCTATAAAATTGTACGAGGTGTTTTGGAGCCCCTACCATGTGTCACCTTAATGGTTGCGAGTCGGACAAATTACATAAACCCATAGACAACCGAAAAGGTATGGCTACCACAGATCTTGTTCGTCTATACTAATAATATAAAGCGTATAGAGTTTTATTTGTTTGCACACGCTAATCTCAGGAACTACTAGTTCAAAATGTACATTATTTTTCTCTTGGTTGGAACATTTAATTTGACTCCGGCACGATATCAAGAACGATTTGCAACGCTTTGAAGCTATCGTAGTTTTGACTTTGACGTTAGAGACATCCTCCATCTTTTTACCCCCCCATTACCACGCCTGCTGTAAAGCGTCCGAAACGATGTTAAATTTAATTAAGTTAAACAATATATTTCGCGTTTTATACCGTTAAAAGTGTTTTATTTAATATCCATCTCTTCTACTTTTATATTATGGTTTTTAGTACTTATAAGATATTTGCATAGCTTATTTTGCTTTTCACCTAATGTTGGCATGATTAAACTTATTATTACTTAGTTTTAAAAGATCCTTTTTTATGTAATTTGCCGTACTAAGAGTTTGAAATCGAACTTAGTACCTATAATCCTTCGCAAAAGCTACGAGTTGTATTTAATATTGATACAAAATCGACAAACCAGGATAAATAATATTCACGACAAGTTCTATCCAATATTCATTGAACCGAATGTTTATATCTCAAGTTGATTGAAGTAAAGGTCGCCTGTTCTTTGAAGTTTGAGCGTAACTTATAAATAAATATAAGGATTTATTAGGGACGCTATGAATTCGTTTGTAGTCTCGTAAATAAAAATATTATGTCGGTTTACACGAGCCTACTAATCAAAGAGAGGACGTATATATTATCGTGAGTTTATTTACGTGTTATAAATTGTGTAATACTAAAATTTTAACGGATTGAAACATGTTTATTAACATTTAGATTAATATTATCTGTGATCGATTTGCTAACCTTATTGCGTACTAACTTACTAATAGGTACCAATGAGTTTGCTTGTTTGTATGTTAATTTTTTTTTTGTGTTGGTTAGAGTGTGAAAGAATTATTCCTCTTTAAATGATCTAAAAAAAGTCCGCGAAGCTCTATGTCTATCTTTTAAGATTAACTTGCAATAACGACGGGAAGGAAGCGACCGACAGCTTAAGTTTATAAACAAGAAGGGATTTGCAAAAACGAATTTGGATGGCCAAAATAACGATTCTTGCGGACAAAGTCGCTGACACAGCTAGTATAATATAATGCTACCGAGCTAGTAGATACGAGTTATAATAAAGTAGAAATTAAATTAATTTCCTAAACCTTCATATAAGATTTGGGAACAGCAGATTTTAATAGAAATATATATGAGATATAAAAATACTTAACTAATATGAAAATATTGAATCTTCTGAACTGTATATATCAAAAACATTCACTTATTAAATTGGTTTTCCTTCTCAATATAGCTCAAAATACACCAATTTTTACACAAAGCGAGTGTCGATTACCTTTCATTAAAAATAATTGACGCTCTGAACTTTGTTCCAGGTCAATCAGGTTACCGGAAAATGCAGTTTTTCCGGAAAGCTTCTATGGTTAGTATATCGATTTCGTGTTATACGTTATTTTAATAGAAAAATATAACAGAAAATATTTTAAATTATTAAGTGATTCCAACAACAAATTCTTAAAATTAAAAAACAAACATGACACAGCGGCCCGTGTGACACGCTGTGTCGTATTTTTTTGATGATGACGACGTGTAAGACACATAAGCTCAATTGCCCGTGTCGATTTTTGTTTAAATCTAAAGTCAATATTTAATTTACAGAGTGCCATCATGTGCAATATGGTGTAAAAATAATAAAGTTTTCAAATACGTCGAAGTTTTTGTCTATTTTATATCAAATGCTGTTACCCTTACTACAGATCAACGCAATGCCTTCCACCGTCAAAGAAGGAGCATAGCCATGTTGTCACAACATTTTAGTGAAGCTACGGTCATGCCTGGAGTAGATGTATGTATAAAATGCAAATTTACATATTTTTTTATTTCATTATTAATTTTATCATTTTACTTCGTAAGATTAAAACTAGTAAGACATTTTTTAAGATTATATGATGCTACTAGAGGCAGAGTGGCCTGATAACAAAAAATATTGTTTTCAATATGGAGCAAAATAAAAATGCGCTATTAACTTAGGCGCAGATGAATTTCTACAATTATTTGTGTATAATATTTACAATTTTCGGTCACTGTGTTCTTGTAGATTGACATTTCTAGACTATGAAAATTTAAATAACTCCAGTCACCAAATTGCAGTTAGGCTACACTGTCTGCGGCGTCCATAATCATGCATAGATTGATTTTTTTATATTTAATTTTTCATTACACTTTACTTAACTAACGATGTAGCTTACAAAACTCTAGTTATCGACCTACTATATCCAGTCCGTAGTTAATTTACATTTCCATCTATTTATTATACACTTCTTGCGCTATATTCGGGTTCAAGTCCCGCCCGTGTCATTATGGTTTGTATTTTAAAATATGTCATTATGTGCAATATCATGTAAAAATTAAAATGATTTGAGCATTAATAACATAACATTCTACTAACCAATATGCATTTATCTTATCCATCTATTAATTCCACAGATAAAAATAGCTTTAAAATAGAGACATTTTAATTAGATTCATTTAATAATTGTTAGCTCTATAATTTATGGTCACATCAGTAAATTGAACAATTTTATAAAAGTCTAATTTCAAATCTCACTCAAAAGTCCAATATCACTTTGACATTGTTGTACGAGTTAATTTTCATAAGTTACGAATTAATTTCACGCTAATGCTTATTCAAAAAGGGACCGTATTAGACATTAATAAGGATTGAATTCGTTCGTTATAGGTGAATTTACAGTGTGTAGCCAGTGGCCCTCACCCAGGAAGATTTGTTTGGGAAAGGGATGGTATTGTTATATCCTCGAATACGGATTCAAGGTAAGGGTGATTTTGTTTAAGTAAATAAATCATTTAGGAATGCTCTTTTTAAATGCATAGTTGCTCACGAAGACCGTTTTACGGATATATATTACGCACAAAGTACGTAAATGTATAAACATGAGATAACTTTTGTGACCTTTGTATCAAAAGAAACGAAATTTATCCCATTCATTCCATCGCGAAAAAGAGAACACGCTGTATAAACACTTAATTTAAGCTTAATTTTGTATGTCTAAAAGTAGCCTTCATACAACCACCAGTTTTAAAATACACTCGTACATCAGACTCAACTGACATTTCTTAAGTTCGTTTAAGTAATGGCATTATAAACTTGAGAATTTCTAAAGGTAAACACTTAATTTTATGTGGTAAACGCGAATAGTACAAATATAAAAAAAAACACTTTTAACGGTTTAAAACGCGAAATATATTATTTACATTTTTACGTTTTTTTAACTACGGCCCGATATTTCAAATGCTATGTAGCAACTCTAGACTACCGAGTGGAAGTAAAAAGTTAACTTATATATTTCAAGTTTTAAATGGTTAAAAGTTTTGTATTAAAAAAAAAACTTTACAATCTACATTACTAAGACATTTACAATTTAAGTACTAAAGAGCAAAATATTTCAGATACGCGATCGGCCAGACGATAAGTCCTGATGGCGGAGTGGTTACTCACTTAAACATATCGCACATTCGAGTAGACGATGGTGGGAGATATGCTTGTGTAGCTCATCATGGGGACAGTATAATTAGTCATGAAGATAGGATTAATGTTTATGGTAAGACTGTGAATTGATAAAATGTTCATACAAATTGAAAAGAATAAAATAATATAGGAAATAAATGAACAAATGCCTAAGTGCTAATGTGCAAACGATACTTAACATTGATTTCCTATATGTATATGTAAAAATATTGACGGACAATAGTAGCAATGAATAGCTAATAATCAACGGGTCAGGGCTTCGAATTTAATAACGATATATAATTCTTCTGAAAGACTTTAGTCTTTGATTGGAAACTTGGATATTAAATTGGTTTGGATATAGATATCTAATTTCCGTTCAGGCCGTGAACCTATGTCCACAGATAAAAAAGACGTGAAGTTAAATTGTGTTTTGTTAAGGGCCGAAATAGGACGACGGCGCATCTTGTTTACTTAATATTCTTCCAAGGGGAGCTTATGGTACAAATCTTATTATTTATCTGTTGGAAAACTTTTATTACCCTCATGTTTGATAAGATATACTTTAGATTGCTATATTCATATAAAATTAATAAATTTTGTGACGTAAGAATCGAATAAAATACTCTTTGTTGGCCAACATTTTGCAAATAATTGAATCGAAGAAAAATTTCAATACCTTTGAATAACAAACGAAAAGGAACCATAGATAAAGCAATATTTCATTTTCCTCTGTCGCTGGATCAAAGGCGTTATCCAATAAATTGAATAGCTTTTAAAATGCTAATCAAGTAAAAACAAGAGACTGTATTTAAATTCAGTTTCTTGTTTATAAACTCGAAGTTACTTCGTTAGTGATAACAAAGACTTCAGTAGTTTGTTGTTGTTACAAATTGTTCTAAGTTCGTATTTAAATTAGGTTAATAACTCTTATAGATTTTTTTTTATTTAAGTTCTATTTTATATTAAGATTACAATATTTTATGTTTAATTGGTCTTGAATTTTTTATTGTTTATGTATGTAGGTTCAAGAACTCTGGTACTGTACATCCCATGTATCACTTTTCTATTGTATAACTGCAAAAATATAATTATTCTTTCAGGTCCTCCCTACATTCGTACTCTACCACCTATTAAAGTGCAAAGTGGACAAAGTGTTACTTTGAAGTGCCCATATTATGGTTACCCTATAAGGTAAAGTAATCAATTTTGATTACCGAGGAAAGCATTATAAATTGAAGTCTATCATCTATAGTAGATGCCTAGTCCATATTCTATGTCTATAATTCTGTGTCCAAAATTGTCAAAAAAGGAAGTCGTCTCTAATATCAAAGTAAAAAACTGCTACCCTAGCGCCATCTGTTCCGTCGTGGTCGTAGTGGCTATTTGATGATGAGGTGGTGAAACTTGTTGGGTCCTTGAAATCGTCAGGGCGCAGTTAAAAATATTTCTTAAATAAGTAATAAAATTCGCGTTATGAACCGTTAAAATTGTTTTATTTAAATGTGTCACTATTATTATTTGATCACACATTATTTAAACTTCCTTTTTCATGTGTTTCGAAGAAACTACAGCATTTTATTAAACAAGTAAATTTACACACAAATATCACTTACGCAACTGTCTTTTAGAGAGATCACATGGGAATACAGAGGCAAAGAGATAACGCCAGAACAAACGAACCGTTACAAGCGTTACGTGAACAAAACCAAACTCTCAATAGAGATCTACGGGCGCAAACCGAAGTTAAGAAAACGTGACGTCACGGTTAATAATGACGGAATTCTTAACCTGAATAAAGTTAGTAAAGCTGATAATGGTGCGTCATATGCTTGTATAGTCCGAAGTCCTTCTGGGGAGATGGCGAAGCGATCGTTTGACCTGCAAGTTGTGGAGGCACCCCAACTTGAGGAAATACTGCTAGCGTCCGATTTACAAGAAGGGCAAATAGTTCAGATCCACTGCAACTTGAAGAGCGGGGATTCCCCGGTTTATTATTCGTGGTTGAAGGACGGGAAGAAGATTCCTCCTAATTTGAAGGTAACTGTTTTCTTATTTTAACCATTATAAGTTAATATACTTTTGAGATGTTAGGTACGCGGACTTGAATCTCAAATAGTATTAAGTATTTATTTAAAGATTACAAAATAATCTCTTAATACAGATACGAACTTGCTCTATAAACATACAATTAGTTTACCGTCAAATTAAAATTAATGAGAGCAACTCTCTTAAAGCAGTCTTCTTCACCACGAACCACAAATATTGGCGGTATATTAAAGTTATTATAAGTCTTTAATATAGTCTATGGTTCTGAATAAGTTATAATATATTTCACAATATTAGCTCTACACTATTCCAAACTTTTGAAACTAAGTAATTGGATAACATATATGTTATATCAAATTATTATTTCAATTACAATTTGATCAGTTAATTAATTATTCAAAACTGATACGGTTCGAAGTAGATTTTCACCATTAACGCAATACATACTATGATAATGCTTCCTAAAAATACTGTCTATTTTCTAAGTAGAGTCTGTATAGAAATTATTTCGTATATTCTGTTTAATATAAAAAAGCGGGAAACGTAAATCGGGTTGGTCATAGTGTTTCAATATGGCGTCACTTGTTCTAAAAAAACAACAGATCGCGTTCCTTTATTTTAAGTAATAAAATTTAAAAACATCTTGTGTAAGTTCTCGTGTATAATGTTTAATTAAATGTGTTTAAAAATGTTTATGTTTAGATCGTAGAAAGAAGTTTGGAAGTATTCAGCGTGCTTATAATTAAGAATGTGTCACTCGATCACTGTGGCACCTACACTTGTGTGGCAGCAAACCACGTTGCAAAAGTTAATAGGACTGTCAATTTGTATATAAAAGGTAAGGTCAGCCAATTAGGGAATATTCACGACCTATATTTGAAGGTGGCTATAGTATTTTGTGAAATTTTACATTGAACTATCTAAACTAAAGCTGAAAAGTTTGTTTGTTTGAACGCGCTAATCTCAGGAACTACGGGTTCGAATTGAAAAATTATTTTTGTTTTGGTTAGAGCATTTATCGAGGAAGACTATGAAATATTGCCCTGTGACTAATGCTAGCGAAGATACAGCGAGAAATGTGAAAATGATTTATTATTGTGGGTTTCCGGGGCGTACGCTATAAAACGGTTTAAGATAACCAAGAAATATGTATAAAAGAATGATTTCTCTATAAAAGATCTAAAAAAAGTCCGCGACGCTATATTTCTATCTTCTAAGATTAACTCGCAAGAACTACGAGAAGGGACACGACCGACGTTGTGTGTAACAGCTTAAGTTTATAAATATGAAGGCGTTTGCAAAAACGTCTTTGGATGCCCAAAATAACGATTCTAGTTCCGCAATAAAGAGTAAGTAATTAACTCTAAAGGCAAATCATTCTGAAAAATGATCAGATCGTAAAACAAAATTTCAAGTATAAAAGCAGGATTAAATCTAAAAAGACAACAGCGAAAAGTGAATCATCGCGGTTTTTAATCTGTGAAATCCATTCGAGCCATAAAACGCGGGAAACGACCCTTCATAACGATCTATGTCGAGAATATCTCCATTTCATGAATTTCGGGATTAACACAGAAATATTTTACAAAAGTTATTTTTCATACTGCCGATATTAATATCTAATGAAAGGACTTTCTGAGTTAATAAAAATCGGCGATGATGAAGTTAATTTTAACCTTTAGAAATTTTTGGGCGGCTATAATTGGTAAATGATACTCAGTGTTGCGTTGGCTCTAAGCAATTAAAGAAAAAAATTTTCCAGTGAACATGCCAGACACTTAGTTCTTTTTAAATTCAACACATAATAAATAATTTGATTTAGTTTTGCTTATGATTCACAAAAACAAAAATGTGTCCAGAAAAGTAATTTTATAAGTAACGAATGTGGAACCTCTTTAATTAAATCAAATTTTAAAAAGAAAACATTCTTATTTTATATTTTTGAATGGTAAAGGAATTATTTTATAACATTTGCCTTAATTATCAACATAAAAATGTTGTGAATAAAATATTTATTAAGTATATATATATATATATATATTAAAATTTTGCTAACCAAAACATACGCATGATACTTTTTGTACATATATATATGTAAAACCAATCTCGTTTATAATACCTATATTATGTTTACAGTTGCACCAAAATGGAGTGAAGAACCACAGAATACATCACTCCTTTTGGGTCGTAATGGCTACGTCTCATGCAAGGCTAATGGCTACCCACAACCACAGACACATTGGTTAAAGAAAGACGGTAAGATTTATTTCATCTGTACATACTATCGAAAATGGACGCCACATGTCGGGGTCTTACTCTTGGTCTAGTCTTAATCTGTGTAAAAAGCTGAAAATAATAAAGTAAAATATCTTTTCTCTTATGTGAGGCTGACGCACTTGTATGTCCGATTCACTTATTTTTAGGCATGCAACGAATGGCATATTCGCCAAAACTATTCGGTCAGATTTTAGCGTTAAAATTAAACATTGTTTTTGAAAATTGAAAAGCTATATATATAATATATAATTAATTAATCATTTTTTCCTGATATCAATTATTAAGTCTATCGAACAAAATACATAATTAACGGTTTAAAACGCGACCTATTACTTAAACGACGGACGACACATGAATGGAGCTAGCGTATAAGTTTTTACTTTGTTTTTACATTAGAGACACCCTCTATCTTTAGTCTCCCCCTGAGCACGACCGCTGCAAAGCATCCGAAATGTCGTGCCGTAGTTAAAGTGATTTGCAAATAAATTCAACTCATATACTGCATTTTAAATCGTACAGTAATTAAAAAATTTTTAGTACTTAATTATTATTTTTTGTATTTAAAGTGCGATTTTTTCTACCAGTGGTATCGGAAACTTGGAGACCAGTGCTGGAGGTCGCTGGCGGTGGAGTTCTAAGTTTATCGAACGGTTCTCTTATATTCGACTCAGTGTCGTTATCAGATGCGGGCTTATACACCTGTCATGTGGAAAATGGAGTAGGGGAAGCACTAAGCAAAACAGTATGGATATCTGTTAATAGTAAGTTGTATTGTATTTATTGATTTCTTATAAGGTATATATGCTATTAGCATTGTTAATGATGTACGGACATATTAATCTTGCGAGATAACAAGAATCTTTCTTTGGAAGGCAAATTGAGTTTTAAAAAGTTTCAGGCAGTCAAAAAGTACTTTCCTTTTGTGCTTATATCTTATCTAATCTTTGAGGACTTTTGTTGTTTGCGCTGCAAAAACGGGTTTGAAAACGAAACAATGTATGCAAAATGTCTGTGACAGTATATGTTTATCTTTTAATAATAAGAAGCGTTTTTTTTGCTAATCAAATTTGGCCGGAATGAATTAATATTTGTATTATATATTATGTCAATTATTGTTAAAGTTGTATAAACATAATAATATTCAATTTACAAACTTTGCCGGATCAGATAGTTAAATATCTCGAAATAAATTATTATTTTCCGTTTCTTAGAACCGGTAACTTTCGATGTGACGTCACGAAACTTAACAGCCAAATTAGGACAGCAAGTGACCATAGAGTGTATGGCGAAAGGTGACGATCCCATTCGTATGATGTGGACGAGGAATGGAAAACCAATCAACCCTCTCACTCAACGGTAAATATCAGTTTCCTTTTCAAAAGCTAACATAACAAGTATACTTACTATACTTCTTACTGTTTGAAGGAATTGGAAAATGTTCCGTCGTTCAAGTGGTTAGTAAGTAACTTAAGATTAAGAGAGTTTACGCGAGTATTACACATTCAAATAAAACACTTCAACGGTTTAAAACGTGAAATATATTAGTTAAACTTATTTGAAAATAATTTTTGACTCGGTCACGGGGCAAAGCTTCCGAAACGTCGGGCCGTAGTTAAAAGTTATTTTCAAATAAGGTTAACTTATATATATCGCGTTTTAAACCGTTAAAGTGTTTTATTTAAGAAGATGTATGCATGTCTATAAGTAAAGCAACATTTTATACGAATTGGTTTAGTATAATGAACATTAAACTATGTTTTTAATAAGATTGTCGTTTATTTAGACAGTAATATTTTAATAAATGCTAGTTTTTGATTTAAATGGTAGCAGAGTTTAAAGAAGCATGCAGTTCAGGTGAAATAGTACAGCCATATTTGACTCTGGATATTCGAAAATCCACAGAATGAGACCGAAATGCGATATGGCTTTATTATCTGCGGTTTGTGATCCGGAAAAAAAATCGATATTCAATCTATTTAATATTCAGAGTCTTTGGGAATCGAACCCGCGACCCACTTAAAAAATGTAATTTAATAAGAAAAATATTTAATTTCTTAACTATAATGTCCAATAATAACAATAAACACTGTGTTTTATTCCTTTGTATGCTATTAATATCAATTGTTAGTATTTAATCTTCCGTTGTAGCGTTAAGATATCCGAAATGAAGACAGAAGAAGGCATGACAAGTGTTCTGGAGTTATTGCAGACGGAGACGAGTGACGGCGCATTGTATCAGTGCAAAGCTGGTAACCCCTATGGCGCCGATGTGTACTCTGTATTTCTTACTATATTAGGTGAGAACATATTTGTTAAACAAATAATATTTAATCTTATTTTATAATATTCACGGGTATTTTGAATCGTTAGTAATCAAAGTCGGTTTTAAACTTTATATTTCTTTTTTTTAATCCTTATAAATAAAAATATGTAATATTTTTTTATGGATGTAGATGCATATTAAATATAACTCGTTTAAAACGCGAATTATACTATATTAACTTACAACGGCTGCTGCATAGCATGCAATACGTCGTGTCGTAGTTTAAAATATTTTTTTTAATAAACGCAAATCGTCTTAATTTATAATAATGTATATATAACTCTAGTTGCCATACTTAAACAAAATAATTTTAATAAAATTACGAAGAACTATAAATATTAAATAAAAACTTTAAAGAAATATGAGGCCGATAGAGGTTAAGGACCCTAATTGCAATTTTTTACGACTTGAATTATTTAAAATTGTTAGCATAGATATTACAAAAATAACAGTATAAATTGATTTTCGTCTGAATTAATTACGCATTTTTACTTTCCTCCTCATTGTAACTCGTGTTTTTTGCTATAAGGCTACTCTGCCTCTAGCAGCCTTATATATCGTTGTCTCTTTTTTCCTTTAAAATTCGCAAACAAAAACTAACAGTACTATTTTTCTCCACATAAAAAGTGATTCAATGCGATTATCTGATCCATTTTCTCATAGAACCGCCCCTACCGCCGAGTGATCTATCTGTAGACTCAGTCAAGAGTCGTGCAGTGAGGTTATCGTGGATAGATAGTGCACGTTCACTAGCACAGTACTACTCGATACAGATAACAAACACTCAGAGACTATCTTGGAGTACTGCACGGACCATTAATGTAACTAGGTAAGCGGTATACGATAGCTAACTGCGTTTATTCAATTAGCTATCCTATGTTCAGTGATATAAGCTCAGCTATTTATATAATTCAAAATCGATTTTAGATTTTTAAAAAATACGCCACAAGAGTACGGATACTGTGAATGCCGGGTCAAGTCCTGCCCGGGTCGTAATTTTTAAAAATCTTATCTCGATTTTTATTATTATCAATAGCTGAGAAGAAATATTAAGTTTTCAAATATTTATAACAATTTTGATTTGCTAGTAATTGGTATATTGAAAATCTATTTAGGCTGTAGAAACTTGATGACACGGGCGGGACTGGAACCGGCACCCACAGGTTCTGTCATCTAAATATATTTTTATTTGTGTGAAAATAATACATTTGTCAAAGTAATCGATATATTATTTTAATGCAAGGAAAAAAGATAATTATAATCTTGGGTCTTTGCTTTGGTTTTGGGTTTGGGCTTTTTTGTTTTGTTCAATAATTACTTGGCGTAATTTTTGACGATTTGACATTACAATAATTTATTCAAGTCTATGATAAATCTCACGTAGCCTAGAAGGAAGTTCGATTTCTGATATCAACGTATATATAATTCTGTAGAAAACGGTTAACATTATTGTTAACCGTTTTCTACAGAATTATAAGTTATATATAAATAAATGCCTTATACCTTTGTAAATTTATACATTTCTGTCACACTAGATCGGATGCCATACGCCATACCATTGACGTGGAGCAACTGCAAGCGGCCACTGGTTATTCAGCTAGGGTGGCTGGCGGAAATCAAGCCGATCTCAGTCCGTACAGCGTTCCAGTTAGGTTCACAACAGCTGAAGAAGGTGAGTTGTTTTAAATTAAAGAAAAGAGAATTAAATCATTAAGAAATGGATTTTAGATTAAAAATGACGACAGGAGCGGGATTTGAATCGGTGTCCACAATTATCGTGCATATTATGCACATTCCATTGCACATCGCAATAACATGTGCAAAATATTAAAGTTAATTTCATATCAATTGATATTGACTTCGGTATTTGTTGAAAATTTAGATAGCTTTAACATATTAATTACGAGAGATAAAGATATTAGTGATCTTGGTATAACTGTACAACATTTTATACCTTATTGAAAAACATATGATTCAGCGTTATATACTTAAGTTACATTAGTACTTTTTTATATTTTATATTAACCAATCGAATACTTAACATAATACTAGTCTTCTGTTACGTTAATTAATAAGGTTTCTATGTCAAAATCGACATTTATGCACACATTACAATATAAAATATCTTCTAACTTTTGTTATTGACCTATTAGTTTGATCCAGGTTATTCCATTAAAAAGTAATATAAAGCCATCTCCAATAAATTCCAATATCATTTCTTATTCTTAGTAACAACTAAAATCTCTACCGGGTAAATATTCCGAGGCAATACCCGACTCTCAAGAGACGAGATTTCGTCTTCCCCGGTATCTTTAATTTATCAATGTCAGTATAGTTCACTACGTATTCGCTTTGGGATCGTACAATACATCAAATAAGGATTTATTTGATGTATTGTACGATCCCAAAGCGAATTGTACCGTGCTACGTCCTAATGATAAAACGAGCCTTTTTAATTTGTCCCTTGGCGTCGATAAAGCCGATTTACACGTGTAATTAGATGGTATTAAGGTTCTAGTGAGAAATGGGTAGAGCTCTGGAAATTCGGAATTTTCTTTTCAATGTAAAGGTTGGTTTTTAAGGACACTTATTTAAATAAACTATAGTTCAAATAATGTCTGTAGTTTGAAACCCCGTCTCACTTTGATTGACGGTTCCTTACCCGTGGAGGCTTAATTAAAAAAAACGTAGTAAATTACGTTTTTGTTAAACTAGATAATTCGCGTTTCAAATTGTTTAAAATATTTTATTTCAATAATGTTTGTAATTTTACAAGAGGGTTTGTGGTTTTGAACTGAGGTGTTTTTACTGTCAGAAATTATCTAAACAAGCGGTGTTGACGTTATTTTTTGTGTTTTTAACAAAGTGCAAAACAAATGTTTAATTTATTTTCATACCATGGTCGAAGGTCCACTTCTAGGGAATCAAATAAATTGCTGATCTGAATTATAATTTTTGATATCAAAATCATTTGTACTACCCTTAGCTCCATCATCCCCACCACTCAGCGTGCAACTCGAACAAACTTCATCCCCCGGGGAGTTGCTGGCGAGATGGTTACCACCCCCCAGTGATAGCCATAATGGAATGATCCTAGGTTATAGAGTGCGGGCTGTGCCTCAGCTGAGTGGAATTAAAGGTATAGTAACAATGAAAACTTAAGTTAAAAAATCACAAAAAGGTATTAGTAATTTCATTTGAGTACAAAGGAGGTTGTGCTTAAACACTGTTTGTAGTTTACACGAGTAGTACACAATTAAATAAAACACTTTAATGGTTTAAATCGCGATATATATTAGTAAAACTTATTTAAAAAATATTCTAACTACGGCCCGACCTTTTGTCGTCGACGTTTCGTCAGTCTCACCGTGACCACGGCTGTTGCAAAACATACTTAACGTCGGTTAGTTAAAATAGTTTTTAAATAAGTTTAACTAATATATATATATGACGTTTTAAACCATTAGTGTTTTATTTAAATGAGGTTATATTTGTCAATTATATTTTTGAGCAAAGACTAACTTATTGATCCTAAACACTGTGATTATTTAAGTAATTGCCACATGCAATTACTTAAATAATTACAGTATTTAGGTAAATCAAGGTTTTGTGTAATTATTTGAAACACACACTTTATTACAACTAAACTCTACACTTGATTAATTCCAAAATAAAGTACCTAACATCATTTATTAAATCCTAAATCTAAACAAAGCTTTACCATATCCTAATTTTATTGTATATTTTGAAAGTATTCATTGTATTTTACGTAGCACTTCTGACATTTGTGTACGTTCAAACCTCTAACCTTTGTCACAGAATCCCCTGAGAGCAACGACAAGATTATTAAGACGACGTCTGTTTATTCAAAACAAGAGAGTGATATCACTGGTCTCTTGAAGGGAGTTAGGTAAGTACTGTTTGCCAACTGTAATCAAATACTAACATATATATATTTTTTAAAGTTTGTGTTAAATTATAATAAATAGTATTGTAGCGCCTTTGTGGCTCAGTAGCCAATGCGCAGTTTTAACCCCAGCGAAGCATATCGGTCGGACAGGAAACAGATGTATGATCAGCAACCACTGGCCTGTAAATTAAATCGATCTGTTACATATCACATAAGTGATAGGGCAGTGTGACTGCCGATATAAAAGATTTGTGTTTAATTAGATTATTTATATAAAGATATTCATCAATCCAAAACAAGATAATGCATAAAATATTTTTTAACAAAAAATAACACAGTTCAAATTTTAAACTAAATGTTTCAAAAACCCCCACTAAGTGCAAATATTATGAACGGGTTTATATAACTATATTCTCAAAAACTTACGTAACTCAATATTTAAAAAAAGGGTCTAATTTAAGGTTGAACTATAAAACAATATTAGTTGTTAAGTGATCCTTATAACGAAAGATCTTGCAAGTCTTACTATTTTGTACAGATATGCGGTCTCTGTTGCTGCATTTAACGGTGCGGGCAACGGACCATTTTCAATACCTTTATTTGAAGACACCAGAGAGGGTGGTAAGTACTATATATTTCGCTAATACATATTTAAAAGATTAGAAAATTGCTTGGTACAAACAAACCAAAGTGTGTCTGTTACAAATTCTTTGATAAATTTATATTTTTAGTACCAAAGATTTAATTGACTTGTATGTAGTTCTCTGTGTTATATTAAAGTATAACCTAAGCTATAGGCAGTCTTGATTTTGAAATTCGAATTTGTATATCAAGTTGTTTCAAAACATTTACACCATTTCCTAGTACACGCACTATTTAAATAAACAAAAAATTAAAGAAGCGATTAAAACTAGAAAACTGAACACATAAAATACGTAGGTTATGACCACATAAACTTAACTTAGAAACTTATAACTTAGCACTAAATTTCAATCGGATACCTCGTAAAATCTTAAATTAACGTAGAGGAACTGAAGGGAAAGTTACCTTGCTCTTGTGCTTTGGGGCGAATATTACTTAATATGCAGTTTGGAGCTAGTTACAATGTTCTCAAAAGGTAAACGCATAGAGTAATAAAACCAGCTAGTTAAGCTTTTTTCTCATTTTTAAGTTAAGTTCAATATATGTGAAAAATTGAACTGTTTGTTGTTTTTTTTTTAATTATCAATCTTACAACTGTCATTTAAATCATCTGGATCACTAAGATATTGGAATAAGAATCTTTAATGAGAATTAACAAAAGTACTTTAAATTTAGATGTTTCCCTAAAAAAATCCCGTTTGGTTTTTTGAGTACCTACAGACAATAACTCATATTTAAAGATAACTTACAACTTGATCAATAAGCTGGTTCTATATATAAATAAGTTTGTTCAATGTGTACTGCTTTTATATACTGTGGCTTTCATGAAGTGTTCGAAACACTTGTATATTCTGGCCAATATTTCGTACAAGGGGGAGATAATGAGTGTAAAATATCGTTACAACTATTTTTGCACTGAAAAGTTTTGTTCAAAAGTACCAGTACAGTAAAGGTTACAGTTACCTGTTCTTATTGTGACTTCATTAAGTAAATTAAAAAATATAGATAAGTCTAAGAACTGTCTTAGTCTAATTGAAACTATTCAACAATATGTTTAAGGAAATAGTCACTTCTATGCTATATATATATTTTTTTTTCCGCCTCTGTAGCTAAATGGTTAAATGTAATGCCTAGCATTGCTTTAAAGGTCCTGAGTTCGAATCCTGGAGAAAACATAGATTTTTTGGACGAATAGGGCACAGAAGTCTGCTCAACTACTTGCTTGTATAGATAACCAATCAGTGAATTGGACACAGACATATGTTCGCCCCATGCCCCACAGAACGGGATCTCACTATTTAGTATAAAAAATTTAAATTTATCGTAAGGTCAAGTAAAAATACAAATTATATTTTCAAAACTCCGTTGAAAGGCCAAAAAAATACTCTCCCCTATCGTGGTTACGATTTAACAAACTTTCGCCTCTTAATTGCTTCTCACCTTTTTAATTTTAATTATTCCTTTCAGTTGAAACATAATTAACGTTCGCTCTTCCAAGTTTTTGCTTTCATTATTTGAATTATCTTGACAATGGGTTTCAATTTGAATTTTTAATATTCTTATAAATTTCTATATTCTTTGTATGGAATCACAATACCTATTCAACGTGAATATTAATATTTTATTGAGTTCAATAGATTATCATAAAATGTATCATCACATCAAAATCGTGTCAGTTATTATATATGCTCTATGAATATTTCATTGAAAAGTATAGAATTGTTAACTCATATATCTCATCATCCAAAACATGTTTCTCCAAAGCACATAATCCAAGTAAATTTCTCTATTCTGTAAAAAATATACCCTAATTAATCGCAGAATAAATAACGTGTTTCATACAAGAAAAAAGTTATAAAATAAACTTATTATTGTGCAGCACCTGAAGAAGGACCGACATCCGTAGAATGCGGTGGTGTGACGTCATCAGCGCTGCGCGTGAGTTGGCAACCGATACCTCACCACAAACAGGCTGGGTCTTTAATAGGATACACTGTGTTGTATGCTGCGCAAGGTATGAATGTCTAGCGATACCTCATATATAGCAACAACGTTACTAAAATATAAAAGGAAAGTATATTTATGACTTCTGTTACATGATTATCTTTTTTTATTTAAATCAGGTCGCCAATGGCAGAACGCAACAGCACCAGTGACAGAAATCCGCTTGCAAGGACTCAATAAGTACACAAACTACACAGTCAAAGTCGCCGGCTTCTCTAACTATGGAGTGGGGCCGTTCTCGTACCCTATTATTTGTTCTACTATGCAAGACGGTAAGTAGACTTACGTTCCGCAATAAGTTAAAAGTTATTTTATGTATTTTAACATACCTTTTTAATTTTAAAAAACCTATGTCTGTATTATGTTGATCGTACGATAAAATATTAAATAAAATAATTTTTAATAATTAAAAACGTGAATTTGAATATTTATAACTCCCGTAAATGACACATATATCATACAAACATTTTGATAATTGATCTAGTGTCCTTCGATTATTTTTAAATCGGTTTATACTAATTAAAACTTAATTTTCTTGCAACAGTAAAGTTTTTTTTTTTGGGAAATACGAAGCTTTTTGTTTTGTGATTATTTTTATGGATGCTTATTAATCGTTTTTCAAAGCTTATATAACATTTTTGTCGAGAAAATTCTTTATAATTGTTCGTTAATTAATTATCTACAGGTTACTGTTATTATTAAAATAATGGTAGGTTAGAAGTATTTAGGTATCTAGTCCGTTACGTAATCGAGGTTTCAAACTATCTTTTTGGCGTGCACAGTTCCGGAAGCGCCGTCGGAAATAAAACTTCTATCACAGTCGTCGAATACGCTTCTTGTTAGTTGGAAGAAACCGAGGCAGCCGAATGGAAAGTTGCTCCATTATACCGTTTATTGTAAATCTACGGCGAGGTATGTTGCTTTCTTAATAATAATAGGTAACATATTTATAGACACATCACTTGTGTATGCGTGCACACAAAACTAGCTCTAAATTGAGGTTTAGTTTAAAGTAGTTATAGTACAAAAAAATATTTTTAACGGTTTAAAATTAGAAATATATCAAAACATACTTTAATGTGTTTCGGTGTTCTGCAGCAATCGTGTAGACAAGAGGAATTGCAATTTGATTTGCACATTTTTTACGTCTGCCGTGTTTTACGTATTCCAATATGTACTACTATCTTAGCTGCAGACAATATTTGATAGTTCATGGTCTAATAATAATAATAACTGTATAAAAAAACAAATACATTTTCCATATCTTTTACAATATTCTCTACAAAATAGCTTATTCTAATAGAATTATTTAATAATGAAAAACGTACAATTCGACATAAAATTGTCAATATCAACTTTTAAAAATTATTTTTATATAATTACTCCCATAAAATATTATATCACATTAAGTTTTTTTTCTATATTGAATGTTTTTATTTTTCCTTTATTTAGCAACGACGGACCGGAATCACATCGTATAGATGTCCAAGAATCGTCCCCATTCGAAGAGACTCAAAGCTTAGAGCTAAAAGGTCTTCAAGAAGGAAAACAGTACGACGTCTGGGTGACAGCTAGTACATCGGTGGGGGAAGGTCCAGAGAGCAGACGTGTCACAGATGCTCCACAACAAAGGGGTATGTACTGAATCTTAATATGACTTTCTCGGTAATGATTGTGCATTTTAGTTTTATTAACATGTTTTTCTGCTTCGAGGTTCGATCATCTAAAGTGTGAATGATTATAGATGTCAATATCAACCTGCGAATTTTATCTTTTGACATATAAAAGTAATCTTAATAAGCAACAAAGTGTTAGCTTATCAAATACTGTCTATAGTTTACGCGAGTAGTACACATTTAAATAAAACACTTTAACGGTTTAAAACGCGTTATATTAGTTAAACTTATTTGAAAATGATTTTTAACTTCGGCCCGACGTTTCGCATTGGCCACGGGGAGACAATCTTTTTCAAATAAGTTTAACTACTATATCGCGTTTTAAACCCTTAAAGTGTTTTATTTCAATGTTAGCTTATCATTTTATAATATTTAAACAACACTAAGAATTACAATAAAGAAGTAATAAGAATAACTTAGTCAATTTTATACTTAATATTTCCTATTCAAAGTTTCTGTAAAATATCATTACAATCCTTAGTAATTGTTTTGGATTTTTTTCTAACAGTATGCAATAACTAATAAAATATTAAAGATTCTAATCTTAAATACATCTTTTAAACAGTATTTGTTAAAATAAGAAGACTTCTCAGGAATTCTTGATATAAAACGTTTATAATAAGTACGGTATATCAATTTGAAACAGGTTATAGGAGGCTGGAAGTAGTTTTAATTCTGGACGTGCATCTCCAGGATCGTGTCATCAGACTATTGTTTTTCTCCAGGATTCGAAAACACTACGGTCTATACGGTTTTAAAATTGCAGTTAAACGCACAGACGACTATTATATTATAGATTAGTTATGAACGTCGCGCAGAATTTATCTAACCCTACACGATATCCCTTAACCCTTCTGTTACCGCGTCACCCGTCTACGTCGGGTTTTCCCTGACAACTGTCAACTACACGTCATCTTGTCATACTGTCTAGTGAACTCCTGGCTTAGAAAAAATATGAATATTAAGTAAGTGTTGTTAGTGCTTAAAGCTATGGAAGTTTTGAAAAGCTTGCTTATTTCTTTAATTTTAATTTATTTTTCAAACTTAACAAAAAAAAACCCTTTTTTTGTTCAAAATGAATCTTTGAATCTATATACATAGAATTAATCTCGAAGGAAAGGTTTTCTTCGCATATTAAATATCGAGTAATTATTCAGTGATTAGCAATATATATATTAGCAATTTTATAGGCCTACGTTCATTTCATAATCGATAATGTCCGCGGGCAATTAAGATGCGATATCTGACCTGATTCAGTTAATAACTCCATAATTTCACGTAATAACTACATAAAATAATACAGCAAGTATTTCTATAATGCACTTATGGTTTTCCTATTTTAAGTACCGTCGTATTCGTAATAACATTCTTAAATTTAATTTTGTCTCAAGTCAGTACTATGTTTGTTAGTATAACATTTTCGTAACATGTTGTAGATGCATTAATAACTCCTTATTTTTAAGCAACTAAGACCCTAATGAAATAACTTAATACTAAATTGAGAATATTTCATACAATAAATATATTACAGTCATACACCGCTCAAGCTATATATGTGTAGGGTATGAAAGTTATGCGCGATCCCAGGGTATATTGAATACCGTTGACCCTATAGGTAACACGAACTAAGAAGTACATTATGTATTCTGTTTATAAAATTCTGTTTAATATATTACTATATTGAACGTTTTAATATTATCTACACTCATAGCATATGAGTCCACGTATATATTTTAAACCAGATTGGAAATTTTACACAGACAGGATTCAAACTAGCCACGAACTATGTACGGTACGTACGTACTCAATGGATGTACCATACCATGCTTATGTAATCAATCAATTTATTCCTATCGATGGACGTCTATCGTAATAGGTGTTAAATATCTTGTCGTGTATGCGATTGTGGTCTTATTTCTTAGATATTTCATTATTATTTTTTTGCTAGTGGTAGCTGGCGTTTCATCGCTTGGTGGAGAAGTGGTGGTTCCAGTTCGCGGTTCGTTGGTACTCGCCTGCAAGAGCGTGGGTGTTCCACCACCGCGCACCGTGTGGTATCATAATCATTACATCATTACTCATCATCCAAGATATACAAGAAATAAGGACGACAGCTTGCTTATTAAGAGTAAGTAAATATTTTATCAACATTTTCCATTCTATTCTACAAAACATATCAGAGGTGCTTATATTAGTAAACCTAAACCCCTGGCAATTACAAACTGCGTGTAACTTTAAAATAAAAATCAAAATAAAACCGTGAAGATAAAAATACACGTTTATGCGAAGATAAAATTCCGTAATTTTGAAAAAACAATCTCTCTTATTTCCTTTTTACACACAGACTCAAAGTTAATTGCATAGCACGAATTTCCCCGCTGCTTTTTTTAACTTCCCTTAAATTTGCATACCCTGTGTAATTTAATTAAGAACTTTACATATTTCTAAAGCAAACCGTTTTAATGGCATAATTTAATTCGACAAGCCTTACGTTAAACAGCCGTTTAGGTAACTGTGTATTTTAGTAAAAATGGAAAAGAAATATTTAGAAAGTAAATCGTTTAATATATATTTTTTACAAAAGGTAAATAGCCTATGACTTCAGTTGTGCAGTGTTCGACTCGCTGTAGATATTAAAGTACACCTTGCAAGTTAGTACTTAGTTTTAACAATAAAGGGGCTTACTGAAAATCGATGTTGCAGTTGTTTCTAGCACACTATAGCATTTGCTGAGCCCGCTGCAAATTTGTATAGTATTAAGTACACAATTGAGAAGAAATAAATATTCATTCATTTATATTTTTTAGATAAATCTTGGTCGAGAATTAAATGTTTGTTTGTTGTTTATAACGCAAATGATTATTATGTTTGAAATTGATCTAGCTAATAATTATTAAGTTAAAACATCACTAACATAACAAAATTCTTTCAGATATAGACCAATCGCTAAGCGGTAATTACACGTGCTTAGCAAAGAACCTCTACGGTTCCGATTCAGTAGTATACAGTGTGAAAGTACTACCGCTACCAGATCCACCTACTCTTAGAGCGACGCCCTTCAAGGATTCTATAGTTATCGAGTGGGATGAACTCAAGACAAGCAATGATACGCTTACTTATGGAATAAGTAAGTAAACTATGATTTAAATAACGGAATAGTGATATAAATAATGATAGCAATATACGACTAATAATCAACGAGCTCTTTATAATTCTAAAACATGTTGTACTTCGTCTGGAAATCTGGTCATTAAATAGGATCACGAACCACCATCTCCAGAAGACAAAGCCGTGATTCTTTACGCTTCTAGTGTATATGTTATATGACTGCGGTATTTTATTTTACCTACCAACAAGGGGACATTATGCTTACCTTTCACTTTATCTAGGGAAAATAATACGTATGTATTTTCTTAGAATAATATAGACTTATATTTATTAAATTTGTTATACATTTACATGCAATTCTTAGATTACAATCTGACATGGCGCGAAGGAGATGGCGTCTGGCAAGAAGCCTGGCCCGTGGTCCAAGAAATAAGACTGCCCGGAATACAACAACACACACTTTCAGGTTTAAAATGCGGCACGAAGTACTCGGTCCGAGTGACCGCTACAGATAATGTGGGTACTTCTGCGCCGGCGCATGTCGATGTTACTACGTTGGGAGGCGGTGAGTATATAACCTTAAAATGCATTTTAGTAATAGACATATTATAAGAATCATTTGGTTTGAATATTAATCATTAATGAATAACTTAATTTTAAACTGAAAATAAACCGATGAAACTCTTTAATTTAGCTTAAATTTGAGATCATATACATAAAGCTTAAAAAATAATAAAATATATATTATTTAAATACTGTCTGTAGTTTACGCGAGTAGTACACATTTAAATAAAACACTTTAACGGTTTAAAACGCGGAAAATTTTCAGTAAAACTTATTTATATATAATTATTTTAAGTAATACATATCACGGTTTAAACCGTTAAAGTGTTTTATTTAAATATATATCACTTATAACATTTTAAATACAGCGCCAGTATCACCGCCGACCACAGACTGGTTGTGGAGTAACGCCACCCACATATACATACAACTCAGTGGATGGGACGATGGAGGTTGTGATATCACTAAATGGGACGTCGATTATCGCCCGCTTGGCTCCAATCTGTGGCATCGTGCCGACAATAGAGCTGTAAGCAACGTATTTAGCTAATACTGCATGAAATCGAGTGTTGTGTCTAAATTAAAAAAAGTAAGATAATTTAGGTGAGACTCTCTTAGACTAACTTAGTGTTGATTAGTAATATATGAGGCCGCTAGAGGCAGAGTAGCCTAACAACAAGTTTATGACTTGAGTTTTGTGATGATTATTATAGTGAGACTATTTATATTTTCATAGTCTACAACCGCACAGTGACCGAAAATTGTAAACATAATTCTGCAACAAATAATGGTAAAAATTCATTTTTATTTTCCTCCTTATTTAAAATCATATGTTTTATTATTAGGCCACTCTGCCTCTAGCAAACTCATATATTTATATTTCTACAATTCCGTATACCAAGCATTAGTATTAATAATCGACCAATAGTCTACAATACTTGTTTTAAATATATTCTGTATCTAATTGTACGTCTAGAACACACAAATGGCCTCCCAAGAAACAGCAGCCATTTTGGTTTTATACATTTATCATGACTGTTCAGATTGTCTTCCCACCGTACTATATTATTAAATTAGCATACAGTAAGAGCGGTAAAGCTTTATTGTACAAAATGCAATTCCGTGCGAATACAACGACTAAAAATAATATATAAACAATGTAAGACGACAAAAATAAATACTTCTTTCGATATTTATGTATTGTAGAAAGCTAACCATTTTTTATTTTAAATATCGTCTCACTTTAATTATATTTTGATATAATTTAGACGGGCTCGTTGGTCTAATGATAGCAATGTATGGCTAATGATCAATGGGCCGTGGGTTCAATTCCCACCAGGTCCAAAACCTTTCTAATTTTTCTGAAACACGCTGGACTTTGTATGGAAACCTGAATATTAAAATGATGATACGAATATAGAAATTCCGTCCGAGTCATGAATCACCGTTCACAGATGAAAAGGCTTTCAGGGTTTCAGTCTGTGGATTTCCCAATGTCCAAATCCAAAATAGATCGACAGCGCATTTTGCTTAGATGCTATAAGCTGGGGTATGTCACCTACCATTAGGCGAATCCCATGCCATGTCTGTTCTCCTCTATCAATACAAAGAAAGTTTTTTCTAATATTTGATAAAAGTCTTCAATATTGTAATATCAAATTTTTTACACGATCCTTAAATTGCTAACTGATTGAAAGAAAGCTTCTAGGTTTTATTTAAAATTAAATAATAAGTGTCAAATATCTATTTATGGAATTCAAGTCAATTCAAATCAAAAATATATCTTATGTGGTTGTTGTTAATTAAAATTAATTAATTATTTGCCGACCCAAGAAATAAGGGTAAGGCTAAAATAAAAACAGTTTTTTTGCAATAAAATTTTTAAACATCACTGACTAATATACTTCAATAATATCTATGTCGTAGGCAATTGACGTAGCGCATCACTGGGGCTACGATTATCGTTCGTCTATGGGCGGGCCGTCGAACTACGCCGTAGTGCTTCAGCCCGCTACGTGGTATCAGCTACGAGTAACTGCCATTAATGATGCAGGGAAAGCTACGACGCTCTACACGTATGCTACGAAAACCTTGGAAGGACGTAAGCAACCTTATTTTTGAAATATAAATAATATATAATATAATAAAGAGATATATAATATAATAAAGTAAGAACTTCGATTCCGTTTTCCTTTTGTGACATTTTCTGTATCTGTTTCAGCTATCTTTTTCGAAATCATTTTGTTTTCTCCGGTATTATTGTAATACAAGAGAACACGCTTATTTGAGCTATATGTTAGAACTATTATTTTAAAATTTTAAAAAATCGAGTTTCGAATGTTGAATAGCTTCATTTGTACTCGTATAGTAATGTATAAAAAACTCCTAATGTAAAAATGTAATTAGCTTATTCATAATAAAATACCTTTTGCAGAGGAAATTGGCCCACCATCTGACTTATTAGACCTCAACATGCTCGTGATAATATGCAGCTCTGTGCTTCTAGTTGTATGTTTGCTGGCATTCATCTGCATTCTAGTGAAAAGACATAGGTAAATTTTAACTTAACTAACTTGTAATTATTAACATAAAAATTTTTGTTATAGATTGTAGGCGATATGTTAATCTAATGCAAATTTTAACCTTAAATGTATTTTTTTTATTAACATACATTATTTATCCTATTAAACAAATAGTAACTTAACAAAAATAAACAATTGTTTTTTTTTAACTGTTTTGTTTTTTTAATTTTTATATATTTTTTTTACCAAATGTACATTAAAAATATTGTTGACAGACAAACGTACTCTTCACAATACCGTCACTCTATAGCGGACGAAGTAAAATCTCGCAATGAAAGTGTAGCCTCACACTCGGAACATAAAGACAGATATGCGCATACACCGAGGATTTATACCTCCCCCGTCCATCCTAGAAAACCAAGCAAGAATGGTAAGTTAAAAAAAGTACTACATTTCAAAGTTTTTTTTTAAATACTATAATAATTAATTAGAACCTTATTGTGGTAAAATTTTAATTAATTTTAATTTAATTAACTTAAACTGGTAATTTCTTGTGTAAAAAAACTATTAATGCAAGTTTAGTCAAAATTATAAATCACATTTCTTCCTGATAGCCTCTAACGAAACAGTTTTATGTATAGAAATGTTCGAGATAAGCCCCTATGCAGAATTCGCACTTGGCTTTCGTACATTCGATCACGTGGAAAACCAAGACCTACCTAGTAGACTACCTGGCAGGCCTAGATTCGATACTGGTAAGATACTTACATAAAAAAAATATTACATACAAATAACCAGTAAAGTGACGTGTTTACTTTTGATAAAGACGTAAAACATTCCTTTGTATAAAATGACATAGAAATAACAGTAGAACTACTGGAACCGCCATTTCCGTCAACGCAGTAACCATATTTCATAATATTTACCGACCCATTTTCGCAACGAGTCTCAGAAACACTATCACAAAAGCTTTCTACAAAGTACGGCCACTATACTGGAAATATAAAATGATTTTCATAGATTTATAGTCTATCGGAAATTCAATATTCTAGATTGTGCCAATGCAGTTGGGACAATAAAAGCGCAGCGAGCGATCGGATACATTGTCACTCTCGTACCTCGTTGAATTATAATGCGCTGGATGCGACATGGGAATCGATTTCGAATTAAATTTTTACTGGAACTATTTTTAGAAGTCACACGAAATAGATCTACGAAAGCAATATCGTTAACACAGGGCATCGAACCCAAGATTAATACAGTATCTTACCGTTGCCAGACTAATTGAGTTTTAGTTTATTAGATTTAAATTTACAGTCAAAATTTGGATTTTTTTCTACAAGCAATAATAATATGCAAATCAGTCTTGTTGAGCGTTTGTTTGTGCTGTTAATGATATAATCTTTTTCACGTCTTTCCTCGTTCTCTTCGACACACATAGAAAATGTATACTAATATTAAAAAGTTGAAGTTTGGGATTGGACGCGGACGACGTCTTTATTTACAGCTATAATCTACAAAAATGAGCAGGTGTGCAAAAGCAAATTTTGATGCCAAAATAGCTATTCAACATTCCATAGCTAGACAATAGATAGAACAAAACATGTCAAGCGTAAAGTGTGTCAAACAGAATGCCATTCTAAGGGCCAATTGAATGGCCTAATCATCTAGTGGCTCTACATCTGCGCTGAATCAGCATTCACTAACGGGATCACGTCTGCTTTGAAATATAACCGTCTCCGTTCGATTTATCTGCGCGCTCCATTCAAAACGAAACTCCAGTCATCACATACAGTGTCAGCGATTTGTGACTATTGTCATTGAGTTTAATAGAAACGTTTTAGCTGTGAATAGAGCTCAAGAAGTAACGTTATGGGAAAGATTATTTTCAAGGAAGACATTTTTTGTTATAGAGAAAGACAGACAAGAGTGATATCACCCAGCCATATAAAATGTAAACAATATGTGCCGTCAACCTTTTTTCGCTTTGGATATTCCAGTTTTGAATCGAAACGCGATTAAACTTCACAGCTTTTGGTCATCTGTGGTTGAATCCTATCATAGATTTAATGTCCAGATTTCCGATGACGTCCAACATATTTCAGAAAAAATGTAAATTGATTGGAAAAATGTTGCCAGTAAGGATCGAACATCAACGAGACCGTCAAGAATGTATAGTTACACTTATTCTTGAAAGAAAACGACGCAAGTCACAAAACTTCACTAAAATAAATAAAATACGCTTTTATTTTTTCAAACAACTTTTTGAATTTACACTCACAAATATGCATATATATCCAGTAATAAAGACGCAAAGGAGAATAAATTGCGAACGAATCTCGTGGGAAGCGAGAGAAAATATCGGGCATGTCTGATTGAGTGAATATATCAAATTAGTTTGTTTAACGAACGGATGAAAGTTGCTATTGGTTTATATGTTATAATACTTAATATAATGGTCTTGTATCTACGTATGAAACTTTTTACTGCTTAATTAGGGTAGAACTTATGAAAACCTTAGAATTTAATTTGAACCTAAATTGATAAGGTGAACGTGAGAATAGAAAAATCTTTACAATTAATTTAATTCTGGAAGAAATTATAATCCTAACTATTATCAGGACATAAAACTACGATTATACCGGTGATACCATAACAATATGTTCAAAAGGACCCATGTAATCGAGTCCTCAAACAGCCAACCGAAGTTTTGATTGCAGGCACTTACAGTTTGAACTAAGCAATTATCAAACCCACATAACCACCATGCGTTTGAACTTTGGCTCATTTGACAAGACACGCTGATGAACAAAGTTTTATTGACGTTGTAATTAATTGTTCTTGTCTCAAATTATATACAGAGGTTCACGGTTATGCAAACCTTTAAGTCGTAACTTAAGTTTATGTTGAAATTAGCTGAAACTCTCAATTGACGTTCCTTCTAAGTACAAAAATAAATCTTGGCTTTCATAAAAACTTGACTTTACGTATAATTTTAATACCTCTTCGAAATTGTTTTGCATTAATCGTAATACTTAACATTCCCTTTTATATATCAACTCGTCAAATAATAGAGAGGCTATCTAGTGTCAGATAAAATCTCAGACCGCTAGAGCGCTATATTGGAAACATGGGATAGATATCGACAGACAGCTGTCACGTTAGACAGGTTTAATTTTAGAGTTAAGCCTTGACTGTTTGAATTATTTTATAAATTAAGTCCGTATTTTTGCTCAAGTCTCTATCTTACCTATATTTATGATGTTTTCTATCAATCCTTAAACTAAATAAAAAAAAAGAAATGTTGTGTTACATATTATATATTTTATACCTTTAGCCATCATATATGATAATTCAATGTAAAGTAAAATTTGTTTATAATAAAAACGCTAATATTAATTCGTTTTTTTTTTAAATTTTAATATTCTTTACATGTTCAAAAAAATACGACACTGACAGGATTTGATCCGACAACATTTTTTTTCAACTTTATTCGATTTTTAATTTCTTTTTGCTGTGGAGAACCAAACTGAACTATTTTTTAGATATGAGTTAATGAAATTATATAAGATAAATAAATGATAAAATCCACCTGAAATACCGTTAATGTACCAGTTTACGGTAGTCCATCAATCTTGTTCTAATTTAGTAGAATTAATGGCTGCTCCACCCAGCTTTCCGGCTGGCGGCTACTTCTATCTACAAACTGATTGATCACTCCAGCCGAAGCTAAGGCCTGTAACACACTTTCCAAATTTACCACCAAAACTAAAGTTACAATATGACTTCGTTCCAGTTGCTTTTGTTGTTCAAAGGACGACATAATATATTACGTCTACTTTGAAAGTAATTTGAAAGACTCTCAAAATGTCTTAATAAAAACCTAACCCTAAACAATAATAATTGAAGCTGAGAAAATAATATTAGAATTGTAGAAGTTTTTTTGGAAACAAAATACCTAACGAAAAAACTATGTTTACGACATAAACAAAACGCAATGACTTTTTATCTTGTTCTCAAAATCTTCGTCCTTGAAGATAGCAAAATCAGTGGATTTTGGCCTTGAGATAAATTTCATCCATCTTCTTTTAGTACCATTTCATTTACGTTATTCAATAATACATCAATTGATTGTGAGTCGTAAAACTTTGTTAAATTTAAGGAAACTTGTACGGTTTTTTCTCTAGCAGAAGCACCATTTGGAATATACATATGTATGTACAAAATAGGGAATATAATACTTGATTAGAGTAACACCACTTCTCTTTCCTTCGCCTTGATATAATGTTTTCGATATTGATTTTGTTCATTGCATTACAGAGACGAGTTTTGCAAACCGATCCGAATCAGACGACAGTGATAGCACATCCAAAGCCACTGTCTCCGTTATGCCTAGACGTAAGTGAAGTAATAATAATAAATGATATTCTCCTTCAATAATAAAGAAAATTTAGATATGAATTCTCTGAAAATATAAAATTTGCATTGACAATCGAAACAAATTTTATTACCTACTTAATTTACTAAACTAATAATTTACTTTTTTTATAGGTCACTGCCGAACTCCGCACCATAGATAGTATATTTTACCGAATGTATAACTACTTTAGTTTTAAATGATATCTACAAATATGCCATATCATAAGGAATTTAAGTGTCTAATTGTAAAAGCAAAATACAGCGTTTTGTAACAAAAAATTGTAACATCGCTATCAAGAAGGGAGGCGAAATCAAATTCACTTTGTTTACACTTCAGTTTATAATGACGTCTAAGTATAACTTTATTATTCCTTCAAAGTCTGTCGGCTATGATCACACTTTTAAAATTTCAGCTGCTCTTTGTGTGTATTCAAAAATATTATTCAATTATTTTTAGAATTCAAGACTTAAAGAATGTATTCAATATTCTGTTATTAGTAACTTGTAAATAAAACACTTTAACAGCTCAAAACGCGATATATATTAGTTAAACTTATGTGAATATTATTCTAACTATAACCAAAATGTTGGGCCGTAGATAAAATGTTTTTCAAATAAGTTTAACTAATATAATATACTCTTTTAAATCGTTAAAGTGTTTTATTTAAATGTACACATTTAAATAAAACACTTTAACGCACTTTACTCGCGTAAACTATACACAGTATTGAAGTGACTATTCTTAAATATTTAACTTTCTCATATGACGATTTAATACCTAAGTTGAAACCTGTTTTGTATTCATAACTATACTATATCATTTTTAAACAATACACACTGCCGTATTCAAAAGTCTAAAATTTCGCGTATCGTTTCATTAATCTTTTATGATCTCATATTTTTAAGTATCTTAGGGAAACGTTTTAAACGGTTAAATTTAAGTGTAAATAAGTAAATGTTAAATTATTACTATAAAAGTAGCGATTGTTCAATCTCATTATCTTTGTAAAAGACTGATGTTTATATAGAATAAATGCGGTATTATTATTCGTACTGTTTTGTGTCAATAATCGAAAATACGAAGCATTCCATTATGTGTGTCTGTTTTTATTTACTCTGTTGCCCCGGACCTGTTTTTGAAATATGTACAACGGTAATATTAATTACGTGTATAAGCCAATAAATGTATATGTTATAGAAAGCGTTTGTCTAGTCATTTAATTTAATATAAGTATTTTGTTGTTATTCTACTCAGCATAACGTATCGTAAAATAAATGTTTGAGAATTTCTATATTGTTTTATTTTTTACAATTATTTTAGATTTAAGAAAGTTTCGAGTAAGAATATTTCGTAACAAACTAAATTGTTTGAGAAATAACAAAACACTGGTCTAGTCCAAAATGATTGGATAGATTATGAAGGTATTTGAAAGAAGCGAACATATTTTGTTAAAATACACTAGTCAGAATTGCCATTCTTAGTTAAGTATGTCAAAATTTCACTGATCTATGAATTAAAACACTTAAAACATTATATTTTTTCATATAGTCGCTTTTCAAGACGCTTAGATGGCAAAAGAAAGAAATATGTTTATTAAGTCTTACAAATACATTACTCTTTTAACAACCTCATCCGAACCGCTGCTCAAAGTTATTTAGCAGCTTGAAACTAACTTATTTCACTGTGAATTATCGGGGAAAGTCCCCGGGGCAACGGGGCTAATACGCAGAGTATAAATCATACCCAGGCCCTGCTGATATTAATGCAACTAACAGAGTTTTTATTGCTGTAACTTTACTGCTTAGGGCGGCACCAGACGAGCAACGGTAAAATCAGTTTTTATACTATTGTGTGCCTACGACTTCATATAAAAATAATCATTCTTTTATTTTATACGTTTTGGTTACCTGTATCGTTTTCTCAGTGCAGATAACAGAAGCCCTCAAAGATTAATATATTTCCCGTTTTTACCAAATAAATTCTATGTTCCGTCGCTCCTATTGGTTGCAGTCTGATGTTTTATAAACTATAGCTCGATATAGATGTTCTAATGAACACAAAAAATATTTTTTCAATTCCAGAGATTAGCAAACAACCTCTTTAGAAACAAACAAACTCTTTAGCTTTATATATTAATATAGATTTAAAACACAAATTAGATTGTCACCGCATCATTTCTTCTAAAATATCAAAAGAGTGTTACATATGTGTATGTATCTTAGACTTTTCAAAATCGACCTTTACTAATATATTGGTACATATTATCCTATTGATATTTTTAAATCGTTTACAAATTATTTGCAAATTGAATTTTTCGTTAGCGCTTGGAGTAGTTATGCAGCTAGATGCATGCACTAGAACATGAACAACGCCCAAATGAATAGTTAAACGAATTAGATTAAAACCAATTTAATGTGTGTTAATTGGAAAACTAAAAAGCAATTCCTGGTAGCAGAACATGTATTGTTATAAACATGAGAAATTCTTCTTCTTTCCCATTCTATATGAATTCTCCCAAAAATCTAGTATACTACTGTCAATATCTCTACCACTACTGTGGGTATCTATAGTACCTCGTCGCTGTGTGTCTTTCATGGTTCGTCTTTTGTCACAACTAAAAAAAAACAAACTTGTTGTTCCTTGTTGTTATATGAGGTTGCTTGAGACAGAATGGCCTAATAAACAAAATTTTTCATAACGGAGAAAAATAATAATACGCTATTAACTTAGGCGAAAATGAAGTTGTACTATTATTTGTGTAAAAATTATGTTAACAGCTTTCGGTCACTGCGCTCTTGTAGATCAACATTTTTAGACTATAAAATATAAATAAATCATAAAATTGAAGTTAGGTTCCTCTGTCTCTTACTGCCTCATATATAAAATAGCATAACTTTAAAAAGCTATAAGGCAAACTAAAATAAATACATAAACAAAGAAATCAGTTTATTTCAAGACCGTTCCGTTTCCAGCTCACTCGTAAAACCACATTTCATCTGAAAGTGCATTAACAGCTAACCCAAAACACAACTCAAGCAGACTCGCTCTCCTAAATCAGCTACGAAGCGTAAATAAATAAGTTGAGACGACCGTAAATTTCAGTTAAAACTACGATTTTATTCCCTTATGAGCTGCCGAATGTTTGTTTTCAATTTACCATTTATGTGGATCAAGCAAAGAGCTATAGCGTACTTCGATGGCGTTTTATTATCTTTTAAAAGACTTTATACGAACTACAATTATTACACACACTACCTTAATTTTAACTAGTAACTCACTTTAAGTACTCTCTGATAAGTAATTTAAATCTAATTTAATGTCTAATGGTACCCATGGTCTATGTAATGGTAATAATCGTTTCATTTACGTAAAAAAACACTGTCTGTAGTTTACGCAAGTAGGTTACATTTCAATAAATTTGTTTAATGGTTTAAAACGCGAAATATATTACTTAAAATTATTTTAACTACGGCCCGACGTTTTTGGATGCTTTGGAGGTCACGGGGAGTCTCACCGTTACTATGGTTGCCATTCTAAACCGTTTTATAATTTTTCTGAAACACGTTGGACGCCGTGTGGAAATCTAGATGTTAAATGCGTGGTAGGAATATCGAAAATTCCATCTGGGTCATGAAGCACCCTGCACAGATGAAAAACGCCCTGAAGGTTAATCGCGTTTCGGTTTCACTCCGTGGATTTCTGACTATCCACACCCAAGATGGGTCGATAACGCATCTTGTTAGATGTTATCTCTATCATAAAAATAGCAAGATAATCTCAAAATTTGAAGAGATTGTATAATTGTGTACAAAAAATAAGATTCATCAACAATTAATTTAAGACTACATACTAATAATACACATCTCTTAATAATTAATGTCTTTCTTCATTTAAGGACTTAATATTTCTATAGACTATTCGCAACACTGTAAAACACTTTATAATCCTTCGAGCCAGTACCAAATTGAGTTACAGGAACTTAAATTAACTGGCAACATTTTAAAACTGCACACGTAAACAATGGAATTAAATTTGAGCTCTGCACTTAAAGAGAGAGCATACGCCCCAATGCCTTTTATTGTTCAATGCTATAGCAACTGCCATATATACTCTATTTTACATTGATTATTTATTGTATTTAATAAGTTATATACTTATGTATGTAAGATTAGAGAGTATTATATTTATTTTTTATATTTACTTTAAGCCCTGTTAGGTCAACATAAAATTCTGACTATTGTTATCTCCATTATCTTTTGTATAATCTTAATATTATTATTACGTTGTTTATATTATTTTAATGATTTTTTAAATATTACTTATCATATGTATAATCTTTCTCATTTTAAATTAAACTAAATGCCAATATTAAAAAAGGTTTTCGTAGATCCGAACGACCCCAAAAACACACTGACCTCAGTTTTACGTAAGCTTAATATAGGTGACCTAGACTCATGCAACGTGCTCGTGAGGTCTGAAATTGCTAGAATTGTAACAATTTGGAATTAAGCTAGGCTAGATATTCTGCAATCCGCAACATACCATATTGAGAGGTGCTTGAGAAAATGGAAAAAGTTTTTCGAAACCATTTTCACTCGAGCATAATTTTGTAATCAAAATTAAAGCTGAATAGAAAACTAATTTATGCAATAGGTACTAAACGCAATAAGTTTTTATCAAATAAATACTGTCTGCAGTTTACGCGAGTAGTACACATATAAACAAAACGCTTTAACAGTTTAAAACACGATATATATTATTTAAATAAAACACTTTAACGGTTTAAAACGCGATATATTAGTTAAACTTGTTTGAAAATGATTTTTAACTTCGGCCCGACGTTTCGGATGCTTTGCAGCAGCCGTGGTCACGGGGAGTCTCCCCGTGACCACGGCTGCTGCAAAGCATCCGAAACGTCGGGCCGAAGTTAAAAATCATTTTCAAACAAGTTTAACTAATATATCGCGTTTTAAACCGTTAAAGTGTTTTATTTAAATGTGTACTACTCGCGTAAACTATAGACACGATATATATTAGTTAAAGGTTTTACTTTGACGACAGAGACACCCTCCATCTTTAGTCTTCCCTTGACCACGGCTGTTGCAGTATCCGAAACGTCTGGCCATCGTCAAATTATTTTCAAAAAAGTTCAACGAATAT